CTCCGAGCTCCTCTGCGGCCCTTTGCGGTGCCCCTCCTCTTCGTCTCTTCTCTCCAGGCCCTTCTTCCGTGGCGTGGCTTAGTGGAGATCACTGTTATTTGGAGTGTGGGGGGCGGTATTTCTGTCACCGAGGCACCACCATTTGCTCTCAGTTTCTCTCTCTCCTGCTGCTGTGTCTCTGGATTGGTCCAAATGAGTTGCAAAAAAGGCAATGAAAGTGAAAACCCAAGGAGTGAGTGAGAGAAGAAGGGTCTTGGACAGCTCAGAAGAATTGGTGCAGTCTAGAGATTTACGCAGTGGTCCTCTGCCTCTCCCCACCCCCCAGGAAAGCCCAGAACCCTTTCTCTTTCTGACTTGGAGTCTGAGTCCTTCTTGGGGAAGCACATCTGCCTGCCTTTGTTAAGGCAAAGCCGCTACTCCTCCCATTTTCCTTTGCGAGTCCTGCGCTGGCCACTGCCGGCCATGGCTGCTGCAGTTGTCCTAACTTTACTCTCAGTGTCATCTTAAGGTGTTCTCCCAACTTGAATACCTCTGGGCAACACCACAAGCTGACTTACTTCTTTGCCCATGAGTGGTGCGATAAAGCAGAGGTCTGAAAGTGCCCACAGGACAGGCCCTCGCTACTGTTTGACGAGTTGGAAACTGGGCAGTGTAGACTGGTACACAGAGCTCCTATGTGTGGTTCAGGGGCAGCCCAGGCGAAGTGGGGAGGCTGCAGGCAGCTCCTGTCCGTCTGCAGTCTGCCGGCTTCCTAGCCGGTTAGGGGCTCAGGCGGCCAGCCTTGTAAAATGCAGCTGCTCTTGAGTCAAAATTGTAATCCAACAAGCCGAACTAGAAAATGGGATTCTAAAAGCTCCAGAGTGCTGGGTACATAAAGCTATTTGAGCAAATTACAAGAATCGCTTAGGGGCATGAATGAAATCAACACTTTAATTGCCTCCAAAATGAAGATTTATACCCCATTTTCTCAACGAATCATTATTTTATTAAAGTCAAAGATAAAGAACCAAAGTTACGGAGTTTGGGGGGCAGAAGGGATATAGAATTAATGAAACGTCATTGAGTTCTTAATACTCCTTCGTTACCCAGTTACCTTAATTTAAGATGTACAGGGGTAAAAATGTGCCTTTTATTCTCCCATCCTGCCTACAAAACGGGAGTCGTGTAGGCGGCCCACGTCGTTTAGAAGTGGGCCTCGTAGGTTTATCTGGGCTCGTGGCGCTGTTGCCTGGTGCGCGTGGGCTCCTCGGTGTGTCTCTTTGAGCGGACTCCTTGGTCTGAGGACAGCTATCAATATATGTCCTTTGTATTGTCCGGTTCCTAAGGGTCAGGAGTCTGTGTGGCAGGGCTGGGTCTAGGGAAGTGGGTCTGGGGAGGTGAGCGCACACTGCGCACCCACGCGGTACTCTGCCTGGGACCCGGCTGGGCTGGGTTGCCCGGCCCTGGCCAGGTGGGGAGTGAAGGCATCAGAGCCACCGTGTGGGTGCCAAGGGTAGGGACTGGAGCCTAGGGCGATCCAGGAGGATGCTGAACCCCCAGGGAGACGCTGGATTACCCCCCCCACCCCCCCGACACACAAAAAAAAACACACACACACACACACACACACACACACACACACACACAGCGGATCCTCTGGGGCCAGGCGTGGAAGAACCACTCCTCCACCTGTCAGTGAGGGTGGCCCAGCCAGTTCGGACCTGGCACTGGGTGCCCTCTGGGACTCGACGTTTCTGGAGGGCCTCATTAGCTCTTTAACCCGTCTGTCTCCAGGGCCTGCTGGCGGCACAGTTTATTGTGTGGCGGGGGGCTGCCACCAGGACCTGGGGTCCACCACTTTGATGCCAGCCGATTTCCCGGAGGGCCAAGGCGGTGGAAATTCACCAGGTCTAGTCGTGGTGCTGGTTGGGGTCTATTTTTTTTAAAAAAATTATCAAATTAAGACACCAATCGAAGCTATAAACCCATCCTCCCCCACTTCTGATCGTTCTTCCTGCCCCCCACCCCCATGCTTGGAGGCCATCTGGAGGTCCCCCGGCCTAACAGCCACGACGGGCAGTCGCAGCCTCCTGGGCGCCCTCTCCCGACCGCCGCGCTCGAGCCGGGCCGGGGCGCCCCCGGGTCTGGGCAGATAAGAAGGAGGGACATGGAGCGGGGCCGTGACCCCAGAGAGGCGTGAAAGGGGGCGTCGAGGTGAGGGTTCAGCTGTGGGTCCCGGGGCCCTGGCGGGGCTACTGTTGGGGTCCTTGGTGGGCTTGGGGCCCTGGGAGGGCGAGGTGAGGAGGCCCTGGCCGCACCCCGCTCCAGGCAGGAGCCTTCCAGGGTATCTGCTGCATTTCCACCCCACGACTGAGGGAGAGGGAGGGGCAGAGAGCCCCGGGTGGTGGGTCTCCCGGAGAGTGCGGAGGTCGGCGGGCAGAGCTGCACCATCACGCTGCCCAGCTTCTCCCGCCGGGGAAGCAGGATGCAGAGAAATGGTCCCCTCGGATTACAGTTTGATCAACGGCCGCTCTCCGGGGGGCCCTGGTCTGAATCTGCATTTAACTGCTCCTGGGCCCGGCTGGCGACCGGAGCGCCCTGTTGCGTGTTAATCCGGCTTGCCTGCGACCCTGGGGAGAAGCGACGCGGCTGGGGGAGACCGAGGTTAAATGCCAAGTGCTGGCAGGCTCCCCGGGGTCGGGGCGAGGCAGGCATCGCAGCCCTGGGTTGGCAGCCCAGGCTCCTGGGCGCCGGGCGGCCGGGCCTGGGGCATCAGGGGCAGACCTGAGTCGGAGGGAAGGGTTCCCAAGGAGGCCTGGGAACTTTGGTGGCGGTTGTTTTATTTATTTCAAACACTGAGAATGTAGCTTCCAAAACGTAGTTTGAGTTGTGCGTCTTAAAATGGAAGTCAGACTTGACTGAAAGCGCCCCCGCCCTCCAAAGTGACATGAAGACTCCTCTTGGGAGATTTCCGTTTTCTGTTGGCCGAGGTGTTCCGGTGAGGGGCAACCTAGTGTCCTTCAAGGCTTGGATCGGCTGCTTTAGAAAAAAATAGATGGGGCAGCAGACATTTACCAACACCGCAAACCTCTGCAGTTCATTTCATCTGTTAAAAAAACTGGACACAGGCTGCAGGACCTAGGCAAATGGGCCCTTTATCCGGTGGCCTGTTTCAAAATGCTTACTTACATTTGGATACACCTTATTTAAATTGTAAATGCTTCCTGGGGTCCTACTTAGCCTCTGAGTGCACAAGCCTTGTAGGGATGGGGTCTTAGCATCTTCTTTTACTGTGGATTGCTGTTGTGGGTCATGTGGTATATTCTTAATTCCTTTCTTGAAATATGTCAAAGGGAAATTATGGCAAGATTCTCTTTAATGATTAAATAATAAGGTGTTGACTGCTTGTCACTACATGAGCTAATTGGGGTGCTCATTCTAGAATCTTTATTGCTTTGAATTAAAAGTTACTTGTTTAGTAGGTATGTTTTATTGTTACTTTCTGGTTGACTTTTATATTTATGTATGGATTTCTGACTAGAGGTAGATTGATTTTTAATAGGGGCATTTAAAATATTTAAGAAAACAATAAGTAAGAACGTATAGGGTCTATGCAAATAGCAGAGATCTGAACACTAATGAAACACATATTGCTACCTTTTCCTTTTCCACCCCATCCTTCCTTCCTCACTTCATCCTCCTTCCCACCCTTCCAGTGGAAGTCCCCAGTGCCAGCTCCATGGTTAATATAAAGCAATGATACTAATGCTACTTTGTACAAAGCAATGCCCATAACTGTAACTATTGTTCGGTGGTTTAACTAGCTCTGTGGCAATAGGTCACTCAAATAGCAATTCTTCACTCACTAGAATGACTCCATTGCTCACCATTCAGAAGTACATAGAGTAGTTATGTGTATTGTAAGTCTTGGTCCTAACTTGCAGACTCATATGTGGAAAGAGAAGCTGAAGTAGTAAAAGGAGGTGGGGGGGTGCAGAGAAATAAAGGAGCCAAATGTGGGTTCTACTCGCAAAAAAGCAACTGATCTGCTATGATTGCCCAACACTGACAGTAAATTTTGAACCACTATGTTTTCAGACACTCATGTATTCTTATCTTAAAATGTTCGGCATAGTCCAAAAGATGTAAAACACAGCTGTTGCTGGGTGGTGGAAGGAAAAATACCCACAGAAACTTCAGACTCGAGAAACAGTCTATTTGTGATTCCATGGTAGAAAAATAGTTATTAAGGCCAGGCAGATAG